ACATACATACATACATACATTCTCACACACACACACATCTACATATACATACACAACGCATCATATCTGTTAAGGAAACCTTCAACAACTAAACGTGAGCACATGGCTGGGGACGGCACCTTTTTGGGGGCACGTGCCTAGCCCAAACACCTAGAAACCAAAAACCAAAACTTGAAGCCCCTGACAAACACCTAAATCTGAATTGGCACAGCTCCCAGAACCGCCAAGCCTCGACCCTTGGAAAGATTGAGTAGTCCCTCCTTCAGCAGGGCCGCTTTACAACGAGCCTCACATGTCCTAAATCCCAAACTCTGCAAAGCTGTGGCTAAACCCTCAACCCTGAACCTTANNAACCTTAAACCCTAAACCCTGAACAGCTCTCGCCTGCGGAAGCCTCCTCACCAAAGCCACGGTGGCGGTGCAACCGAAGCGCCATGCGCCGACCTCTCCGTCTTTCGGGTTGAGTTCCAGGGCTTCGGGTTCAGGGCTTAAGGCCTTCGGGTGTAGGGCTTCATAGGGCTTCATAGGGCGGGACTCGTTTAGAGCTTCACGGTGTCTTTTGAGTTTGGGATTACAGTAAGGGCCTTAAGGTGCCATGGAGCTTTGGCTGGGAGTGAGGGCAGCCTACCAACGATCCCGCCTGGCGTAGCTGGTCATCGGCCTGCGATGCAGAACGGCTGTCATAGATTCAAACTCGGGCAGTAGTGTACCTCCGATTTCTTAGTTTCAGCGTCTCGGTCCCCAGGAATCGACAAAGGTTTTTCAGAATGAAAGGGAGCCCAGTCAGCTTCTGCGGCTTCAAATGCCAGAAGTGTGGAATTGAAAACCCGTGGCAAACCGCCTGGCAAGACCCCTCATTCGTATTCGTTGTAGCAGTTTGTGGCTGTCCTACATTCGGATCTGTCAAGGACTGCTAAAACAACCAGAATTTTGGGTTTGGAGCGAAGTCCGAGACAGCCTTTGAGCCGAATCACCCGATCGATACACCCTGTACTCAACCCCTGCAGAACCCCCCGGGCCTTCTGAAAAGTTCGGGTCAATGCCTCTGCTACCACCTGGTGCAGGGGCATGCAAAGGCCGAAGAAGACATGACGGTTGAGGGCTTAGGGTTTAGGCCCGTGTGTTCGTTCGGACACTGCGTCGGAAGCATAATGTTTGGGAGAACCGGGACCGCGTACATGCGCCAACCGATACGCATCTGTGTGCATATGCTCATGCATGTATGTAGGCACGTGTGCATGGGCTCACGTGCAAAAACGTATGCACACATTGGCATGTAGTGTATGTATACAACTATGTATACTTGAATATGTGTGTGTATATATATATATATATCTGTGTGTGTGTGCGTGTATCTACGTGCGTGTATATGATGTAGGTATGTATGCATGCATGCATGCATGCAGGCATGCAGGCAGGCAAGCTATGTATGTATGTATGTATGTATGTATGTATGTATGTATGTATGTATGTTCAATGTATGTATGTATATATGTATGTATGTATGTATGTATGTATGTCCAATGTATGTATGTCTGTATGTCCAATGTATGTATGTATGTATGTATGTATGTATGGCTGTACCTGTATGTACCTGTGTGTACTTGAGGCAGGTGGGTAGGTAGGTAGGTAGGTAGGTAGGGAGACGGCATTATCATGTAACAAACATCGGGTTACATTACATTGCCTTACAGCAATGAAATGTAATGCAATGTGATGTCACATGATAACACAAGCGCGATATCATCCCCTCCCTGACAAGGAATGGTATGGACGCGTTGCAACTTAACGCAATCCAGTGCACCTCGTCCCGAAGGGGTGAGCTCGGCCGCTTAGGCGCGCTCTTTAAGGCGTGCCGTAGCTCCGAAGCAAGCACCTGTCGCAAAAAAAACCTGAACTTCTTTAGAGGATGCTGACCGCGACGGTGATGAAGCGGCTAGCGATGAAGAAGAAGAAGATGATGATGATGCTGACGATCATGATAACCCAGTGATGGTAGTGATGACGCAGATGCTCTGTTTGCCACCTTCTGCGGTACATGCTCCAGAGTATGTCATGAAATTTTGTCGGTTGAGGGTTTGGGATGCTTGGGTTCTGAGTCTTCGGGGGCTTAGCGTTTATAGAGCTGTTGGTAGTTTGAGGTTTTGGGTTACTCTGAAGCTTTCAACCGAGTACCCGGAGATGTAAACAGCACTTGTTTTGATCTCAAGACGAGTGATACTGCTGAATATAGAGGCATGAAGAACTGCCAATACGAAATCGAAATACAGCTATGAGTACAAAACCCTGTTCGGAATATTATCCGACCACAAAACCACCGCAAACGGGACACACTACGTACGGCCCGGCAATACAAACGATAATTAGAAGAAGAACAAGTATGGAAAATAGTAACAAGAGCAGAGCTGATATTACGCATGATGCTGAATCACCACAACAACCCACACAAAAAACTGACAACAAAAAACTACTAACCCTAAACCCTAAACCCAAAGCCTAAACCCTAAGCCAAAAATTGAGCCCTAAACCCTAAGCCCTAAACCCTGAGACCTAAGCCCTAAACCCTAAACCCAAAGGCCTGAGCCCTAAACCCTAAACCCTAAACCCTAAACCCCAAACCCTAAACCCCAAACCCTAAGACCTAAGCCCCAAACCCCAAGCCCCACGCCCTTAACCCTAAACCCTAAACACCCCAAACCCTAAACCCCAAGCCCTAAACCCTAAACCTTAAACCCTAGACCCTATGAGCCCTAAATCCCAAAACCTAAGCCCAAAGGAGCTCCTCGTCGAGCTCGGCGCCCCCTGGGCGGCGCAGCTTTTCACACAGCTGCAGACCGAAACTGCGGCTGCACGTTTCGGGTTTAGGGTTTAGGGGTTTAGTGTTTAGGGTTTAGGGGGTTTAGGGTTTAGGGTCTAGGGTTTTGGTATCACGGGCGGATTGTTTGGGTTTTTACAAGGCTTCTACTCCTACGGTTCTTGCAGGGGCTTTATCAGGTTTGTGTAGGGTGTTATAAGAAGGGTTTTGTAATGGGTTTGTGTCGTGCAAAAGGGCTGGGGTTTAGGGTACAAGCGTTTCTTCATCGGTCTTATATGACTTTAAAGATTCTGTCGGTTGAGGGCTTTTGTTTTGTTTTGGAAAGGGCGTCTTTTTTGCAGATGCTGTCAAAATGATGTTGAGAAGAGTTTACAATGAAATGCGGGCTGGCGGTGTTAGGGCCTGCGATCTTTAGGGCTCAGGGTTTTATCAAATTTCGAAAGGGTTTAGGAGTTTAGGCATTTTGGCTTAGGCATCAGGGCGAAGCATTTTCAAGTTTTTTGAGTTTGTGAAGCGCTCTTGGGTTTAGGTTGTATGGATATATACATATGTGTATATATATATACATATATATATATATATACATACATACACACACACACACATGTACATATGCGACGTATGTGGGCTCCAAGCAGATGTAGGGCTTGGCATTACAGCGTCTAGATTTTTCGTTTATCAGGCCACGGGGAGAGATAGCTGCTACAGGTGTAGCATGAAGGGTTTTCAGGTTTTGGATTTGTGGTTCAGGGGTTTGGCTCCGGCCCATATATGTGAAGCATAAAGCCCCGTCAACGCCCAGTCTAAGAATTATTCTGTCCTCTGTGTTATTTTTTTGTTCCGTCGGGTCTTCCTCAATTTTACGGATTTCTGTTTATTGTTTTGTGATATGGGTTCCCTATAAAACATTAGTACTCCCCGCCCATGACGAGGATTCGCTTTTCTTTTCTTCCTAAAAGGGACCCAATT